AAAAAAAATTTTTTTTGGGGGATAAATCCCTGAGTAGGATGGGTTGGATTTGAGTGGGACTTTCACAACAAAGCTTATTTCTTGGGTAGCAATTTAAAATTTGGGGAGGTCAAATGGTTTTTGGGGATAAATTTTAAAGGACCCGCCAGTAAAGGGGGCCCAAAAGGCCAGGGGCAGTGTTCCCCCTTTCTTATGTTCTTTGACTTTAAAAAGCCCCCCGTGTGGGTGGGAAAAGTTTTTCCAAAAAAGGATCACATTATACGCATATTGTTTAAAATTTCCCCTTGGGGTTTTTGAGGGAAAGGGCCTTGGGAGTTTTTAAATTTTGGGTTTGGGTAAATACAAAGAGTAGAGGGGTTGGGTTTTAGTGGGACGCATATGATGGATAGGGGGGTTAAACCAAAATTATTTCTTGGGTGGGATTGAAAATTGGGTTAAGGGGGAAAAACCCTTAGTGGGAAAAAGGGTTGTAAAGGAACCCCCGCCTAGTATGGGCCAACAGTCCCGCTGCAGTGATCCTCCTTTCTTATGTTCAATTTACGGTCCCTTTAAACTGAATGCAAATGTTGCGAATTTGGGTTATTTTTGCGAAACAGGTAGGTGAAGCATTCCCTAGGAGGGAAACATAAAAAAAAAATTTGGGAAAATAAGAAAAAGGGGGGATCACTGCAGCAGGCCTGTTGGCCCATACTAGGCAGGTCCTTTACAATCCATCCCACTAACAGGATATTTGCCTAACCAATTTTCAATACCACCCAAGAAATAATCTCTGTTAACCCTATCCACTCATATGCAAGTCCCACTCAAATCCAACCCCTCTCACTCATGTATTTATCCAACCTAAATTTGAAACTACCCAAGGTCCTAGCCTCAATAACCCAGTGGAAATATAAACACATATGCAGTATAATGTGATCCTTTATTGACAACGTTTCACCCACACAGTGGGCTTTTTCAAGTCATAAGAACATAAGAAAGGAGGAACACTGCAGCAGGCCTGTTGGCCCATACTAGGCAGGTCCTTTACAATTCATCCCACTAACAAACATTTGACCTACCCAATTTTCAATGCTACCCAAGAAATAAGCTCTGATGTGCAAGTCCCACTCAAATCCAACCCATCCTACTCATGTATTTATCCAACCTAAATTTGAAACTACCCAAAGTCCTAGCCTCAATAACCCAACTAGGTAGACTGTTCCACTCATCAACTACCCTATTTCCAAACCAATACTTTCCTATGTCCTTTCTAAATCTAAACTTATCTAATTTAAATCCATTACTGCGGGTTCTCTCTTGGAGAGATATCCTCAAGACCTTGTTAATATCCCCTTTATTAATACCTATCTTCCACTTATACACTTCGATCAGGTCTCCCCTCATTCTTCGTCTAACAAGTGAATGTAACTTAAGAGTCTTCAATCTTTCTTCATAAGGAAGATTTCTAATGCTATGTATTAATTTAGTCATCCTACGCTGAATGTTTTCTAACGAATTTATGTCCATTCTGTAATATGGAGACCAGAATTGAGCTGCATAATCTAGGTGAGGCCTTACTAATGATGTATAAAGCTGCAGTATGACCTCTGGACTTCTGTTGCTTACACTTCTTGATATAAATCCCAGTAATCTATTTGCCTTATTACGTACGCTTAGGCATTGCTGTCTTGGTTTAAGGTTACTGCTTACCATAACCCCCAAGTCCTTTTCGCAATCTGTATGGTTAAGTTCTACATTATTTAACTTATAAGTGCTAGGGTTATGGACACTCCCGAGCTTCAGAACCTTGCATTTATCTACATTGAACTGCATCTGCCACTTTTCTGACCAAGAGTAGAGTTTGTCTAAATCCTCCTGAAGTTCCCTAACATCTACGTTTGAATCAATTATCCTACCTATCTTCGTGTCATCGGCGAATTTGCTCATATCACTAGTAATTCCTTCATCAAGATCATTGATATATATTATAAACAACAACGGGCCCAAGACTGATCCCTGTGGAACGAACAGATCTACCTGGGGTGGAAGGTACGGGAGTATTTATAGTCATGTTCAGAATGTTGAGGTCAGGTGGAGAATGCTGCATCTGATGATCTACCGGGTGGAGTTATAGAGTCTTAGGTAGCTTGGCAGGGGTATTGGACAAGTTGTGAGTAGACCTTCTGCAGTGTTCTATGTTCTTATGTGGGATAGCGATGAAGAAGTTTCTTGGCGAGTGGTTCAGCTATGTTATAGAAGCCGTTGTTCTGGTTGAAATTGTTGGTTATAGAGATAAGCTATGATTCCAGGATTCTTCGGTATTCAGTGTTGTCTTCTGTGGCGATAAGTCTTGAGTTTCTGTAGTTAATTAAATGGTTGTGTGAATTGCGATGTTGTACACAGGCATTCCTTGTATCGTCAGTCCTGCTTGCATATTGGTGTTCTGAAATACGTGTTTGGAGGTCTCTTGATGTTTCGCCCACTGAGTAGACTGTTCCACTCATCAACTACCCTATTTCCAATTCAATACTTTCCTATATCTTTTCTAAATCTAAACTTGTCTAATTTGAATCCATTACTGCGGGTTCTCTCTTGGAGAGATATCCTCAGGACCTTATCTATATTACCTTTATCAATACCCATCTTCCACTTATACACTTCGATCATGTCTTCCCTCATTAAGAACATAAGAACATAAGAACGAAGGAACACTGCAGAAGGCCTACTGGCCCATGCGAGGCAGGTCCAAGTCTCCTACCGGCTTAAGCCAATGCACCCAACCTAGTCAGGTCAGGTCACATTGACTTAAGGGAGGAACACGGCAACCGACCTGGTAGCACAAGCTATCAGGTCTAACTCACACCCACCCACATCTACTCATGTATTTATCCAACCTATTTTTAAAGCTACACAACGTTCTGGCCTCTATAACGGTACTTGGGAGTTTGTTCCACTCATCCACAACTCTATTACCAAACCAGTACTTTCCTATATCCTTCCTGAATCTGAATTTTTCCAACTTAAAACCATTGCTGCGAGTCCTGTCTAGGCTAGATATTTTCAGCACACTATTTACATCCCCTTTATTTATTCCTGTCTTCCATTTATACACCTCAATCATTCTTCGTCTAACAAGTGAATGTAATTTAAGGGTCTAAAATAGGACTCCGGTCTTGGCGTACATTACACATACACATGCTGTATTCTTTTCAAGATTGATGAACTGATTACATCAACTCAAGGTTGAGGGATAAATTAGACACATGTGCAACTCTTGGGTATCTTTATTGAGGAAACGTTTCGCCACACAGTGGCTTCATCAGCGGAGAAGCAGCTTATAAGCTGTAATAAAGTTGGTAGAATTACCGACAATATGTAAAGTGTGATGAATGGTTTGAAAAACCGACAAGTTGAAGATTGAGACACTTATGCAGCATATGGGAATCTTTATTCAGGAAACATTTCGCCACGCAGTGGCTTCATCAGTCCAATACAAAGAAGGCGTAAGGAGAGGAGGAGAATGAGGTAATCAGTCCCTCAACCTGGAGTCGATGTGTTCAGTCCATCAATCTTGTAGAATGTACAGCATAGGGCCGTAGACGTGGCTTATATACTGTAGAGATGTGAGGTGAAGCAGGCGGAGGCGGGGTCATAGTGGTACCATCCACTAGTCGAAGTAGGTCTTCGTCCAAAGGTTGAACAAGTGTTGAAGAATTCTTTGTAACAAGATCCCATGATGCTGCTGTGTCTGACAGTATATAAGCCACGTCTACGGCCCTATGCTGTACATTCTACAAGATTGATGGACTGAACACATCGACTCCGGGTTGAGGACTGATTACCTCATTCTCCTCCTCTCCTTACGCTTCTTTGTATTGGACTGATGAAGCCACTGCGGGGCGAAACGTTTCATGAATAAAGATTCCATATGTGCATAAGTGTCTCAATCTTCAACTTGTCGGTTTTTCAAACATTCATCACAACTGTCAGACACAGCACATCATGGATCTTGTTACAAAGAATTCTTCAACACGGGTTCAACCTTTGGGACGAAGACCTACTTCGACTAGTGGATGGTACCACTATGACCCCGCCTCCGCCTGCTTCACCTCACATCTCTACAGTATATAAGCCACGTCTACGGCCCTATGCTGTACATTCTACAAGATTGATGGACTGAACACATCGACTCCAGGTTGAGGGACTGATTACCTCATTCTCCTCCTCTCCTTACGCCTTCTTTGTATTGGACTGATGAAGCCACTGCGTGGCGAAACGTTTCCTGAATAAAGATTCCCATATGCTGCATAAGTGTCTCAATCTTCAATATGTAAAGTAAAAGGACACAAGTGCAACTAATGTGACATTTATTGTGGCAACGTTTCGCTCTCCAGGAGCTTTATCAAGCTCCTGGAGAGCGAAACGTTGCCACAATAAATGTCACATTAGTTGCACTTACAGCTTATAAGCTGCTTCTCCGCTGATATGCCGTATTCTTTTCAAGATTGATGGACTGAACACATCGACTCAAGGTTGAGGGACTGATTACCTCATTCTCCTCCTGTTCTTCAAGTTTCTCCTACGTATGGACTGATGAAGCCACTGTGTGGCGAAACGTTTCCTCAATAAAGATACCCAAGAGTTGCACATGTGTCTAATTTATCAACATGTCGGTTCTCTGAACCATTCATCTTCAAGGTTGAGGGACTGATTATCTCAAACTGCTCCTGTTCTTCACCATACTCCTTTGTACGGACTGATGTAGCCAGTGTCTGGAGAAACGTTTCTTCAGATCCCCATGTTTACACCGATGGAGACAGCCAAAGTGACTTGATACCACTACAACTACCACTACTGCTACCACTACTGCTACTGCTCCATCACGACAACTATTACCACCGACGCTACTACTACTACTACTACTACTACTACTACTACTACTACTACTACTACTACTACTACTACTTCGAGCATATAAAAAGGCGCTCTGGCCTGCAAATACCATTGCGCCTCTACCAGTGCTCACCACAACTTCTACCTTTATTCAACACGAAGGTGTTGTTCACCACCACCACAACAATAATGGCTGACATCAACATCTATCTCACGTTACTGACGGTCGCTAATGTCATCGTCTCGGCAGACTTCTATCCTCACCATAATAACTACATCTTCCATCCGAATTCCCAAGGTTAGTTTATTTGCTATTTCACTCTCATTTGTTTTTTCATTACTTCGAATTCTCTCTTAACCGGATATTCTTAGTTCTGTATATTAATGACATACAGTAGCGAAACGCAGATTGTACTATAACTTCTACATACTGTATGTATTGTATGTGGAATAGATTATGTTATGTTAATAGCGCTGCTTCTTTGTAATTTTCCTATTTCTCTTCCACAGATTTTCACCAGTTACGCTTCTCCCAGTTGAAATCCAGCGACTCTTCCAGAGGTGGACATCAAGGATCCAGCGAACTCAAGAAACTTTTCCATATTTCCCCAGTGCCACTTTACTCTGTTTCTCCTAAGCCACTTTACCCTTCTTTCCCTGAGCCACTTTACCCTTCTGCCCCTGAACCACTTTACCCTTCTGCCCCTGAGCCACTTTACCCTTCTGCCCCTGAGCCACTTTACCCTTCTGCCCCTGAGCCACTTTACCCTTCTGCCCCTGAGCCACTTTACCCTTCTGCCCCTGAACCACTTTACCCTTCTTCCCCTGAACCACTTTACCCTTCTTCCCCTGAACCACTTTACCGTTCTTCCCCTGAACCACTTTACCCTTCTGCCCCTGAGCCACTTAACTCTGCAACGCTGGAAGTAAATGAGAAGGATGTTCCACAGGAAGTTACTTCACTTATTAATATAAAGACGCTAATTCCTGACTTGAAGTCACTAATTCTTGAGTTCACACAATTAATGGACTCTGACCTTGATTTCAATACGCTGCTTCCTGAGTTAAAGAGTTTATTCATCGGATCCAAGCCAGAGTTGAAGAGGATTTTTAAGACACTTCTCATCAAGTCAAAGCCTGAGTTGAAGGCACTGTTTTATGAACTGAAGACGTTTCTTATCGAATTCAAGCCTGAGATTAAGGCATTATTATCTAATATTAAGAAAGTATTCATTGAATTCAAACCAGAGCTGAGGAAACTACTCATCAACTACAAACCTGATTTTAAGAGTTTGTTGACTGAGATGAAGAGGCTACTCATGGACTCCAGGGCCGAGGTAAAAACATACCTTTCCGAATTGAAGGCAGTTCTTCCAGCTCTGGTACAATTTTTTCCAGAGATTCGACCACTACTCCCCGAGCTGCGTGTGCTTCTTCTTGAATTGAGAGTGTTGGTCCCCGAGTTGAGGGCGTTGGTCCCTGCGTTGAGGACATTGGTGCCCGAAATGAGAGCACTGGTTCCTGAGTTGAGGGCACTCCTACCCGAATTGAGAGCGTTGATTCCTGAGTTGAGGACACTCCTTCCTGAATTGAGAGCGTTATTTCGTGAGCTGAGGGCGTTGGTTTCTGAGTTGAAAAGACAATATTTCCAGCCTAAGTCCGAGTTAAAAACAGTGCTTGTTGAACTAAAGAAATTATTTATCTATTCAAAGTCCGAATTATCTCCACTTATTTTTGAACTAAAGAAACTGTTCTTAGAATCCAAGACTGCACTGGCGCCTCTGTTATATGATTTAAATCCTTTATTCCACGAAGTGAAGCCACTGCTCCGTGATATCAAACATTTACTGATGGATGTGTAACCACAATTCCTGTTGAAGGTCATATTGTAACGAATAAGGAATACCTATTGAAGGTCGTATAAGAACTGAGCAATAGGTAACCAGCATCTACCTTAATTTTTCTTTTTTTTCTTCTTGTTCCTGCTTGATTAAGGCAGATGCTGAGTACCTTCTGCTCAGTTGATTAATAAATGATGCTGCCTTTAAGGTATTTTCAACAAGATCCTACTCAGCTGTCTTATAAAAAACATCAAACCTTTAATTCCAATGTATACTTTGTTAATAAAGTCGTGAAATAAATTTGAAATTGTTTTATGAGAATGATGCTTCAAGAAATAGTATGTATGTGTGTGACATATAACCACTGAGTGTAACCGCACTACACTCTGTTAACACCCACTGGTGAGTTTTAGAGTAGGTACTAAAACAAAATTTATTAACGTGGGAGCCAGCTACTCCAGAACCTCCTAGAGTACTTCCAGCTGCTTGTAGGCACTAAAACAAGATTAACGTTGGAGCCAGCTACTCCAGAACCTCCCAGAGTACTTCCAGCTGCTTGTAGGCACTAAAACAAGATTAACGTGGAAGCCAGCTACTCCAGAACCTCCCAGAGTGCTTCCAGCTGCTTGTAGGCACTAAAACAAGATTAACGTGGGAGTCAGCTACTCCAGAACCTCCCAGAATACTTCCAGTTGCTTGTAGGCACTAAAACGTGGGAGCCAGCTACTCCAGAATCTCCCAGAGTGCTTCCAGCTGCTTCAGCGTCTGAGTACAAGCTGAATTGCAGATCAAGCAAGTACAGTGCCTTCCCTCAGTGAGCTACTTGACCAACAAATCACAACTTAGGAAAATCTGAATCAAGAGTCAGCTAATCACAATTGGCATGACTCACCTTCCCCCAGTATTAAGTTTCAGGAGAGGCTGTAGATACATAGAAAGACACACACACATATATGAGAATAAATCTTGTTCACCAATTTTCATAACTTGTTTCCATATTTAGTTTGCTTCCTATAAAATGCTGAATGCAGAATGACCTGGATGAAATTGCAACACACAAACTCGGTGTAAGTTGGAAGGTTTGATGTTAAATTCTGCCTTCATGGCAGCAAACTTGTGCTCACAACAAGCGATTAATAAAAGGCGATAGTAGACGGAGTTTTTACGCCAAAACTGTAATGGCTGCTCTTTGTCTCTATTGAATGTGACGTTCTCTACTCGGTCTATGCCATCCTTTATTACCACTTGACAGAATCTAAACGCCATTTTAAGGTACAGCCTATGAATGAGCGCCTTATCCTCATCCTGGGCTGGCCGAGAGAAAGCTAACAAGTCATTAGGATATATCTCATTCAAACCTAATTAATGGACATTCAATAAGCATATTGATGTGTGTTCTCTGAGAGGCCAAGTTAGGCGATGCTATTACACTTCTCTTTACGGGTTAAGCGCTCCCCCATGATTATAATAATAATAATATTACACTTCTCTCTACCTCTCCCACTATCATGGACTGCTTAGTTCACCTGCGTGATCTACCTGCAGAGAACTTGCAGTGGTACAGAGTTTGAAGCACTCAGCTTAGGTCTCAAGTTAGCCACTGGTATACAAAGCTTAAATACGAGATGGATACCTGGAATTTACCTGGAGAGGGTTTCGGGGGTCAACGCCCCCGCAGCCCGGTCTGAGACCAGGTCTCATGGTGGATAAGGGTCTGATCAACTAGGCTATTACTGCTGGCTGCACGCAAACTGACGTACGAACCACAGCCCGGTTGGTCAGGTACTGACTTTAGGTAGGCACCTAAAGTTCAGCGCCTTCTTGAAGACAGCCAGGGGTCTATTGGTAATCCCCCTTATGTCTGCTGGGAGGCTGTCTTGAGCCCCGGACACTTATCGTGTCCGGTTTTCACTCAGGAAGACACTAACAATATCACAGTAATTAATTTTTATAGTGGATCTGAAGACAATAAATTATGCAGTATCAGAGTGACTAGCGAAATGACAGAAGTTTGTTAGACTACGTATTGGTAGATAAAAGATTGTTGGGTAGACTTTAGGATGACCATTTTTATAGAGGGGTCACAGATATATCAGATCACTTTTTAGTTGTAGGTACAGTGAGAGTAAAGGGCAGATGAGATACAAGGAAAATGGAAGCAGCAAGTAAGAGAGAAGTGAAGGTTTATAAACTATATGAGGAGGCAGTTAGGGTAAGATGTAAACAACTGTTGGAGGACAGATGGGCTAGTGAGAATACAGGCAATGGTGTAGAAGATGTATGGGGTAAGTGTTAGAGTGTTCAGCAGAAGTTTGTGGTTACAGGAAAGTGGGTGCGGGAGGGAAGAAGAGTGATTGATGGAATGATGATGTAGTAAGATAGAAAAAGTTAGCTTATGAGAGGTTTTTACAAAGTAGAAGTGATGCAAGGAGAGAGGAGTATATGGAGAGAAAACGAGAGGTTAAAAGAGTGGTGAAGCAATGTAAAAAGAGAGCAAATGATAGAGTGGGTGAGATGTTATCAACAAATTTGAAAATAAGAAGTTTTGGAGTGAGATTGATAAGTTGAGAAAGCCTAGAGAACAAATGGATTTGTTAGTTAAACATAGAGGAGTGTTAGAGGTATCAGGAAGATGGAGGGAATATTGTGAGGAGTTATGAAATGTTGATGAAGATACTGAAGCTGTGATTTCGTGTATAGGGCAAGGAGGAATAACATCTTATAGGAGTGAGGAAATACCAGTTGTGAGTGTGGGGGGAAGTGCGTGAGGCAGAGTAGAATGAATGGGGGTAAAGCAGCTGGAATTGATGGGATAAAGATAGAAATGTTAAAAGCAGGTGGGGATGTAGTTTTGGAGTGGTTAGTGTTTTTATTTAAATGTATGGAAGAGGGTAAAGTTCCAAGGGAGTGGCAGAGAGCATGCATAGTTCCTTTGTATAAAGGCAAAGGGAACAAAAGAGAGTGTAAAAATTATAGGGGATAAGTCTGATGAACAAGGAGGCTTTAGGAAAGGTAAAGGTAAAAACATAGGTGAACAGTATTTAGATAAGAGTAAAGAGGTTTTTGTGGCATTTATGGATTTGGAAAAGGCGTATGGCAGGGTGGATAGGGGGGCAATGTGCCAAATGTTGCATATGTATGGAATAGGAGGTAGGTTATTGAAATCAGTGAAAGGTTTTTACGAGGCAGTGAGACTCAGGTTAGAGTATGTAGGCAAGAGAGGTATTATTTCCCAGTAAAAGTAGGCCTTAGATTTGTGATGCCACCGTGGTTGTTCAATATATTTATAGATGGAGTAGTAAGATAAGTGAATGCTCAGGTGTTTGCAAGAGGTGTGGAGTTAAAAGGTAAATAATCTAACACAAACTGGGAGTTGTCATAGTTGCTCTTTGCTGATGACACTGTGCTTTTGGGTGATTCTGAACAGAAGCTGCAGAGGTTGATTGATGAATTTGGTAGGGTACGTAAAAGAAGGAAATTAAAAAGTGAATATAGGAAAGAGTAAGGTGATGAGGATAAAAAAAAATTTGGTAATGGAAAATTAGATATCGGATAGAAGGGAGAAAGGTATGGAGGAGGTGAATGCGTTCAGATATATGAGAGTGGACGTGTCAGCAGATGGGTCTATGAAGGATGAGGTGAATCATAGAATTGACGAGGGGAAAAAGGTGTGTGGTGCACGGAGGAGGCTGTGAAGACAAAGAGCTTTATCCATGAAAGCAAAGAGGGGAATGTATGAGAGTATAGTTATACCAACGCTCTTGTATGGGTGGTGAATGTTGTAATAATGTTGGTAGAATTACCAACAATATGTAAAGTAAAAGGACACAAGTGCAACTAATGTGACATTTTATTGTCGCAACGTTTCGCTCTCCAGGAGCTTTGTCAAGCCGTTACAAACAGTACATGGACACAGAGGGTATATATAGGCTCAGAGTGAGGTGCAATACTAGTGGTAGTAGTAGTGGTAGTAGTAGTAGTAATAGTAATACAATATGGTAGAGCAATTAATTCGTACAAGAGTAAAAGGATGTAAAAGCTATTACTTGGGTAACATAAAAATAGGTTAGACAAATATAGACTGGATAGAGAAGACCTGTTTCAGTGTTCACTCTCAGTAATGTGCTTTGTGTAGTATAACAGGAGAGACTATGTGATGGCAGGGTTTACTGTTTTCAGGAGGATTCTTGCTAAGACTTCAGAGATGGTGAAGCTGCCTTTGTTTTGTTTAATTGTATTCGAAACAGCGATCAGTGCTGATTCGAGACACTTGCGTCTGCGGAAATTAGTTTCTTTGATCACTAATTGGGCGTCCCTGAATTTCATGAGATGATTGGTGGAATTTCGGTGTTGTACACAGGCGTTGTTCAAGTTATCGTTCCTACATGCGTAAATGTGTTCATTGAGAGCGAAACGTTGCCACAATAAAATGTCACATTAGTTGCACTTGCGTGGTGAATGTTGCAACAAGGAGAAGGCTGGAGGCAGTGGAGATGTCATGTCTGACGGCAATGTGTGGTGTGATTATAATGCAGAGAATTCGTAGTTTGGAGATTAGGAGGAGGTGTGAGATTACCAAAACTATTATCTATAAGACTGAGGAAGGGTTATTGAAATGGTTTGGACATGTAGAGAGGATGGAAGGAAACAGAATGACTTCGAGAGTATACAAATCTGTAGTGGAGGGAAGGCGGGTTAGGGGTCGGCCTATGAAAGGTTGGAGGGAGGGGACAAAGAAGGTTTTGCGTGAGAGAGGCTTGGACTTCCAGCAAACGTGCGTGTTGGAGTGTAAACAATATTTATGAAGGGATTCAGGGAAACCGGCAGGTCGGACTTGAGTCCTGGAGGTGGGAAGTACAGTGTCTGCACTCTGAAGGATGTTAATGTTGCAGTTTTATAACTGTAGTGTGAGCGTTCCTCTGGCAAGACAGTGATGGAGTGAATGATGAAAGTTTTTCTTTTTCGGACCACATCAGCCGATGTGTTAATATAAAATATATTACTTTTAAATTGGTATTAATTTCAAATTTAATATATAAATAGAATTTAACATATATTGCTGCGTTGTGCCATTAATATCATTATCGTTTTTTTCCTAAGTAACTTATTGTATTTGGGTCCGAAATTTATGTTATAATCTAGTATTTCTTTAAAATAAATTAGTTTTATACATAGCCATGTTAATTTGTCTTTTAAATCATATACATGTACATTAAATTATGGTAGCTGGGTTAAGACCGTGATTCACTTTTATTGGAGTGTTAGAAATGGAAGTGCAAAACAATCGGGTTAACAGCAGGGGCGTCATAAGTACTGTAAGAGAGTGCTGTCAACCCAGATTCTTCACAGTTAACAGCAGGGGCGTCATAAGTACTGTAAGAGAGTGCTGTCAACCCAGATTCTTCACAGTTAACAGCAGGGGCGTCATAAGTACTGTAAGAGAGTGCTGTTAACCCAGATTCTTCACAGTTAACAGCAGGGGCGTCATAAGTACTGTAAGAGAGTGCTGTCAACCCAGATTCTTCACAGTAACAGCAGGGCGTCATAAGTACTGTAAGAAGTGCTGTCAAACCCAGATTCTTTACAGTTAACAGCAGGGGCGTCATAAGTACTGTAAGAGAGTACTGTCAACCCAGATTCTTCACAGTTAACAGCAGGGGCGTCATAAGTACTGTAAGAGAGTACTGTCAACCCAGATTCTTCACAGTTAACAGCAGGGGCGTCATAAGTACTGTAAGAGAGTACGTCAACCCAGATTCTTCACAGTTTAAAAGCAGGGGCGGGCATAAGTACTGTAAGAGAGTACTGTCAACCCAGATTCTTCACAGTTAACAGCAGGGGCGCCATAAGTACTGTAAGAGAGTGCTGTCAACCCAGATTCTTCACAGTTAACAGCAGGGGCGTCATAAGTACTGTAAGAGAGTGCTGTCAACCCAGATCTTCACAGTTAACCAGCAGGGGCG